GCATGGAACGAGGCAGCTGGAAAGCTGCATGAGCAAGAAACAAACCGTAAATAAAGTCAGTCAGGTATCCATAACACTGTGTGCTTCAGGTCCTGTCTACCACACGGGCCTTTCAGGGAATGTGCTGTCAATTAAAAAAATATATATACTGGCAGCTTCCATTGCTTCTTTATTGCTTCGTTCTGAAGTCATTGCCTTCACAAACTTGCTTGTTCACACTGCCCGCCCAGTGGAGTGACCCAAAAACAAACAAACTCCAAAGCAAAACCGGAAATAGCCTACCATCAAAGCCTACATGGGGCTGGGAAAGCTATCCTGTCTGTATGGATGCCAAATTACACTTATGTCACTGACTAAATCTTCACTGTATATAAAGTTTATAAAGTGCACAGTAGCAGCACGATTTCACCAGAGGCTCCATTTACTCTGCTACTCTTTCAGATAAAGATCGATCCCTCTAACCTGGACAGACACTCTTTGCTGTCAGTCGTGTTATCCAGTTTGTGGTGGACCACCGCACCCACTGCCAGAGGCCCCGCGTCACCACATAGAAATGTCACTTTGCGCCCATTCAGGATCCTCATGGTCCTCTTTACATAGTCTAGGGCTCTATGCAGGTAGGAGGCCTCATTTGAGACCCGGTGCAGTTGAAGGTACAGCAATGCAATGCCTGTAGTGAACAGAAAAGACACAGTTAGGTCCATAAGTATTTGGACAATGACAGAATTTTTGGTATTTTTGTGGCTGCACACCACACTGTGGATTTTAAATCAAACAGTCTGTGACTGAGAACCAACTTTGAGTTTTAATTCAGATGTATTCCACTAACCACAGACAATTTTGTAAGTAGTCCCTAATTTTCAGTTACAGGACAAATGTAAGCCCTGTTCTTAACGCTTGGATGATTTTTTTGTTTTTGCAGCCAGTGACTGCCCGAAGTCTAGAAATCACCAAACGTGCCACCAAACACTGCAGCACATCCTCTCTCTGGCTCCAGTTTTATCTTCATTAACTAAAACGCTCTCTCTACTGTAAATCATGTAAATCATAGATAAGGTCAATGATTTACATCTGGTAATTACTGCAATTTTTTTTTATATTTGCCTTAATAAACTCTTGGGTTGCTTTTGAAACATGTTTTGGGTCATTATTAATTTTAACTTTAGACTAAACCTCTAAACTTTTCTCTGTAAATGGGGGACTATGTACAAAAAATATCTGCAATTCCTTTATTGCAATACTTTTGTTAAATCCCTAAATCAAAGATCAAGGTCTGCATTTCAGTTCAGTGTTAACTGTTTAATTTAATATCTATTAATTGTGTACAGAGAGAACATTAGTGTTTGTCGTTGTCCAAATACTTATGGACCTGAGCGTATAAAATAGAGGATATTTTTGGGTGGATGGATAACAGAACTGTGCTCTCTTCACATTTTTAGAGTAGTCAGGGACAGACCTGTCCAGCCGGTGTAGGTGGAGAAGTCATGGGGGTCGGCTGTCTTTAGGCCTTCCTCCATCTGCTGGAGGAGATCTTTGATCTTACTCTGGACCTTCTTCTGAAAGTATGTGCTAACCTGAAGACAGAATACATTTATAAACTCCAAG